TGAGCGAGTTGTACAATTATGGGATGTCTGGGCTCCCTAAATGATGGAGGGAAAATATCACACAGTCCAGGTGACGTCTCCTCCTGACCCTTTCTTGTCCTCCTCTTGTGGAGGCCAAAGAGGCAACGAGGTGGGGTTGGAGTGAGGGGGTGGGTGAAGGATGGGCTTTCCCACCCAGCCCATCAGCTCATAGCCCTCAGAATCCTCTGCTGATAAAGGGCTGGCAGGCACACACGCTCTTCCTTTCCTCTCTTGTTGCCTCTTACTGCGGCCAGTAGCCGTGGATAGCCCCCTCCTCTAGGAATCTGTCAAATCCCCTTTTCAACCTGTCCAAGCTAGTGGCCATCATCTTCTCCAGCGTTTGACAACGCACTGGGAGAAGAATGTCCATGAATCTGTCCTGAATCTCCCAGGGTTACTCTTCGGTGGATGACCCTGGAAGCTTTTTCAGAAGGAACGTTTGTACCCCTTTAACACTGCCAATTTTGCATTGATGGTGTCAGTATTTTCCCCCCACCATCCACACAACGTTCCCCTGGTCTCGCTTTCAGTCCCCGCGGTTGCGCATTAGGACTGTTTGCCTCCCGTTTTTCCACCCCATGCAGAAGAGCAGATTTCTGTGTAGCACACTCACCTTAGTCATTCTGCTCCCCACCCCCCACCCCCGTTATAGCCCCAGAGAGGGCAGCTTCCTTTCCCCATATGGGACTTGCTCCAGTCAACTGGTTTATTTGGGGGGGGGGTTCCTTTCCTGCCAACNCCTTGGAGCAGCAGTTGCCGGTCAGCCCTGCCCTAATCTTCTGGAAGGGCAGCCCGCCTGGGACAAAGGGCCACGTCTCCTCCCCCTCCCCACATCCCCCCAGAGAGGGAACTGAACCCTGGTCCCTCCCCCATCCTGGTCCACTTGTGGCAGGGACTCCACCTGGAGCATTGGTTTTATCAGCCGTCTTCTCCTTGCGTCTCAGTTGAATTTCGCTCCATTTCCCTCCCTAGCTTGCTCTGTCCGATAAACGAGTTCAGCCAAGTTCCCGTTCGGTTTGGCTTTCATTTCCACTCCGTGATTCCTTCTCGGGACGCCAGCTAGAGCCTTATCCAAGCGGACCAACACTGATCGCTCCATCCTTTGGGACAATCAATAAGGAGGACTAGGATAAAACCAAAGCTTGTATCAGACCCAAGGACTCCCGTTTGGGCCACGAAAGCAGCAGCAAACAGCCTTGTGGCACCTGCCTTAACGACGGGCACGTCCATTACGGCAGAAGCCTTTTGCAGGCTTACATTGGTGATTTGGAGCTGTGCAGATGCATTGACCTGTAACTCTCCGAGGCAACTGATGGCCATGGACAGAGCTTGGAAAAGCTCCGTTTTATGGGTTGTCAAAGAGCCTTTGTTGCACCTTAAAAATGAGCCTTTTATTTGTGTAGATAAAATGTTTGTGCAGGTGTTCCTGCACCTGGTGTTCCTGCACCTAACACAGCTTCTCTCCCTGGAAGCATCTGGATTGCCGCTCTCTGAATCTCTCCCAGCCCAACGTGGCTAACACATTGATTCCCACAGAAGCAAAGGGAAAGGGCCGGAAAATCACAAACAGTACAAAATCAAAAATACTGTGCTCAGATGCATCTAACGAGTCCATAGTCATCCTCACCAGGTTGTTCACTGGACTGCCTCTGTAGAAATCTTGGTCTGTTCGTTGGCCCTCCCTGGCCAGGATCCTGCTAGCAAAGGCCTCAGTTGCCCTGGTGAATTCCTGCTGCCTAATGAGATGCCCAAAGCCAGATCCCTTTCTCTGGGCTTGTTGTGCCCTTGAGTGTGTGGCAGGAACTGGGTGGCAGCTCTTCACATTCACAACTTATGCAATTTAACTTATGCAGATGGGGATCGCAAGAAGCATCCTTCCTGGCCTTTATTTGATATTTTTACAAAATTAAAACTAAAATACAAACTCAAAGGTGACAACACACAATGCACCTTGGGCTTTCCCCACCCGGGCCACCACCTTCAGCCTTGCAACTAGGGGACCAGTAATATCAATTGATGTCCCTTTTCACCCCGTAGCTCTCCAAAAATACATGGATTCTTTTGCTAGCCTTTAGCCTTTCCTCCTCGAAAAGACATGTTCTTATGAATTTCGTATATCTTTAAAATAATTAGACTTGATCATGCCTCTTCTTCTTTTCACTTCGTTCGTATATCTTTAAAATAATTAGACTTGACCATGCCTCTTCTTCTTTTCACTTCACATGTTAACTTATCATTAATTAGCATTCAGAGCACAGAGTGCTGTCCTCTGAAGATGCCCATGGCCACAGAGACTGGCGAAACGTTAGGAAGAACAACCTTCAGAACATGGCCTAAGAGCCCGAAAAACCCACAACAACCATTAGCATTCAATTAATGGCCCTTTGTTTTTAGTTGAGGGCCACTTGTTCTTGGAGACTCAACTTGGATTGGTTGTTTCTCACATTTTGTATGCCATTTGTCTGAATGATGTGCTTGCTTATTTACGATTTGGTATTCCAGCTCCCCATTTCTGGTTTCTCTTTTTCTTTGAGGACCCCCTGTTTCTGGCTTCTCCTCAATAAAAGAACGAGTGTTTAGAAGAGGTTGCTCGACTTGCTGTTGACTTTTTCCAACAGCCTCCGGTGGCGAAGCCTCTGGAAAGGTCTCAGAGACACCCAGCAGTGGCAAGCGGACATTCTGGGGGTGTTCTGGTCAGTTTCTAAGGCGTCTTGAAACCCTGCTGGGGAAACTCACCCCTGTGGTGGTGGTCGACTCTGGACCAGGGAACTCCAACTGGCCTTGGGACATTGAGCAGACTGGGAATCAGGTTGTCCCCCTGACCCTGGCTTGACCCTCTGCTGTCCTGCCTCGGCCCAAAGGGTATTAGAGACCTACTGGGCCAAGGTGTGTGATCACAACAATCTCCTAGCCCTTCAGATGGCTTTGTCTTTATGGGGTCCCTGTAGAGCACCCTAACATTTCCCACAATTACCCAGTGTGGTGTAGCAGACAGAGTGATGGGCTAGGACGCAGGAGGCCTGGGTTCAAATCCCCACTCGGCCATGGAAGCTCTGAAAGGTTGGCTAATGGCAAACCCACCCCTTAAATACTTCACTGCCCTTGAAAGTCCTGTTAGGGCCACCATAGTTGGCTCCCACCTGACAGCATATCACACACACACACACACACCCTGATATTTACGACAGCCCCATTGGGGAGTTATCCATGTCATCATCTCCACAGTGTCAGTGGAGGCAGGGTTGTGAGATGAAACCTTTGGTTTAAAGCAGGAGAGGATGTTTGGTGACTATCGGCTGCCCATGCAGGTTGGGGTACAGAAATGTGCCTGCAAAACCCTCTGGAGGTCCATTCCACCTACAGCTTCTGAGGTCCCTGCTTCTTGGGAGGAAAGTGATGACAAACCTAGACAGCATCTTAAAAAGCAGAGACATCATCTTGCCAGCAAAGGTCCGCATAGTCAAAGCTATAGTTTTTCCTGTCGTGATGTATGGAAGTGAGAGCTGGACCATCAAGAAGGCCGACCGCCAAAGAATTGATGCCTTTGAATTGTGGTGCTGGAGGAGGCTCTTGAGAATCCCCTGGACTGCAAGGAGAACAAACCTATCAATTCTAAAGGAAATCAACCCTGAGTGCTCCCTGGAAGGACAGATCCTGAAGCTGAGGCTCCAATATTTTGGCCATCTCATCAGAAGAGAAGAATCCTTGGAAAAGAGCTTGATGTTAGAAAAATGTGAAGGCAAGAGGAGAAGGGGATGACAGAGGACGAGATGGTTGGACAGCATCATCGAAGCAACCAACATGAATTTGGTACCAAACTCCGGGAGGCAGTGGAAGATAGGAGGGCCTGGCCTGCTCTGGTCCATGGGGGTCACGAAGGGTCGGGCACGACTTAACGAAAATTGCTAGCACGCTTTTCCGTGATCCAGTAAAGGCTTCTAGGAACGGCTCAGCGGAGGGTCCTTTTCTCCCTTGGCTCCGGGACAAACAAACGAAGGGTGCAGAGAAAGGCAGAGGAGCCCTTGCTCTAGGGACCTGGATCAATCAGTCTCATTCACAGCTGAGCTAACCACGGCGGAATGGAAACCCAACGAGAGAGGGCCGGTTGGCGCCCCTGCCCAGAGCCGCGACTTGATTTCTGTCCTGCTTTCCGCTCTGGAACGGGAGCCCGAAGTGGCTGGCAGCCGAATTTCATTCACGCAACAGAGGCGACATGTTCCTTGGGCGGTTCATCCTGCACTTGGTATTCTTCCCCCCCCCCCACCTTCAGTCACACAACCGGTTGTGCAATGGACACCCTCGGTAATGGAGGAGCGGCGCCCCGATGCCCGCTGCAGACACGCGGCAACATTGTGGCCAGCATGTTGCACACCTTAAATCAGCGGCTACAGTTCAAACGGACTTTTGTTCCGAACGGGATGGGTCGGAGGAGCTCTTCGTTAGACGCCCCGAAAAAGTTTGGGGAAGGCGCCGCGCAAGGAGGGGCCCTGGTTTTCGGCTCGGATCCTGGCCGCGCTTAAGCCAGGCGGAATGGAGGCCTTCGGGCAGAGCTTGGGAAAATGCCTTTGGTGGCGGGGAAGGGGCCGGATCCGGAGAGATGCTCCAAACGCAAGCAAAGAGGCGACGGAAGCCCCCCTCCCCGCTTCCCTGATCCCCCCCCGCTGGTTTGGGGGGGCGCCTTCCCCCTGGGCTGCGCATCAGCTGCTCCTCCTGGGGAGGGGGGCGTGGAAGGTGGGGGGCGGCCCCCCTCTGCTCCAAAGCCGGGAGGGCCTCTGGGGCGGGGCGGGGGTGACTCAGGA